CCAAAGCACCCCCCAAAGCAATTAATCCAGGCTGTGTGGGAACACAAGACTGCGCCACCCACATGGCCCATGGGAATACAAGGCTTGCGTCGCTTGCATTGCAAACAACACAAGGTAGTGAGGGGAAGTGGAAAGGGCGGGTGGGGGGGGACTGGCCTGGCCACCGGGCTGTTTCTTTCCACTTCTTTCTTCTGCTGCTTTTGGCTGCATGCAAGGAAAGCAGAAACAGTCTTTCTTTCTCTCCCCCAAACTCCTCCAGAAATGAGTCTTTGGGACCCTGCAAGGCATCCTGCTCCAAGAGGCTGTGCCAACAAAGTGTCATTTCTGGCGGAGTTTGGGGGGAGAGAAAGAAAGACTTCTCTCTCTCTCTCTCTCTCTCTCTCTCTCTCTCTCCCTGACAACAGAGCTGGAGATGGTATCCTGCGATTCCAAATAAAGAACGATTGATTGGTAGGAAAATGGGGTGAGGAATTTTCCTGCACCTTTTGGGGGATTTTTCCAGGGTCTCTGGTCCACGGGATTTACAATTATGAGTTTGATGGTCCCTGTGGTCCAAAAGGTTGGCAACCCTTGTTCTAGAGCCACTATTGAAAAATGTCAAACAGTAAATCCAACTGAGCATATGTAAGACCCATCATTAAAATTACATTGAATTAATAAAAGTGGCAAAACAGTTATTTTTCCATTCTTATTGTGTCCTATGACTTCTGAGAAAATGGACTGGAGGCATAAGGCTATTAATCCAGTCATTTAGTTAATTAGATTCCCAGGCTTTGGGTTAGGTAAAAGTGTCTGGGGACATGATATATGGTTGGATCTATGCAGTGTAAAATTCATCTTTGGGAGAGGGAACAGTTATGATTTCCTTGAAGGAGATGGTGAGGCACACCCTTTTCAAGAAGTCATTGATGAATCCAATGGTTCTGAACATTTTCATCCAATTTCCAATGTTCCATTTTTTGATAAGGTTGTTGAGAAGATAATAAGTCTACAACTTCTGAGGGCTCTTGACTAAGTATTATCTAGACCAGGGATCTCCAACCTTGGCAATTTTAAGACTTGTGGACTTCAACTCCCAGAATTGAAGTCCACAAGTCTTAAAGTTGCCAATTGACCTCAGGCCAATGAAAGATCATATAAAGATCACATTTGTTGATAACTTCTGGTTAACCCATCCTCTCAGAGAGCTCTCTTTTATCTTTCAGTGTCTATTAGTACCATTGATCATGGTATTCTCCTGGACCTTATGGGGTATGAAAATAGGAAGAAGTATGTGTTGTGGTGGTTCTCCTCCTTTCTTTGTGGCTGGTTACATTTATGTTCACAGATTGGGAGTGATCTAGCCCAAAGAGACCATGTTTGGAGGCAGGCTTTGGGTTCCACATACTCATTACTACTGATTAACACCTATATGAGCCTGAGTCATAGAAAGTTGAGCCCTGCCACCTGCATGCCACCTCATGTCCTTTCTGATTGATTAAAGACTCCTAGGAGACAACATGTCATTGGGTCTAGTTGGTAGTGGTCCCTCCTTGTGGGAATGAACAGTGTTGCCTGCTTTGAAGGAAACTGCAGTTTTCCTTCTCCTCAAAAGGTCATCACTTAATCTAATAATTCTGAACAATTTTCATTCCATTTTCAACCTCCGTTTTCAGGAAGGTTGTTGCAAAGTTGAAAAGCTCACTATATCAGAGGGCCCTGAAGGAAATGGATTACCTGAACATAGTTCAGTGTAGGTTCAGGCCAGACTAACTCTGTTGTTACTTCCTCTAACCTCCACTCCTTTAACCTTAAACTATCCACTATTGACCTCACCCCATTCCTAAGAGGTCTATAAGAGATGTGCATAAGTGGACAATCGTGCCTATCGTCCCTGTCCTATTGCCCCCCATTTATTTATATCTATTTCCTGTATTCTTAGTCATGTTTATACTTATACCTATTATCTTGTAAGCGATCGACAAATCAAATAATTAAATAAAATAAATAAATAGAGTATAGCACCAAGGTAATACTAGTTATGCTTGTGGAAAACTTCTGGTAAGAGATTGTGTCTCTGTTCTGGCCCTTTTTAATTTATCAGTGACTTTCAATACCACTGATCCCTGAACTCCCAGCACAGGGAGTTGGTAATGGGGGTCATTGTTCTTCAATAGTCCTCTTCCTTTGTCTGAGGTTGGTTTCAGTCAGAGTTGTTGGGTGAAAAGGTACAGTCTTAGACCTCTGATTTGTAAGGTATACCAAGGCTCAACTCTGTCTCTGCTTCTATGTAACATCTACATGAAACTGCTGGGTTAGGTCATGCATCAGCACAACATTAGGTATCATCAGTATGCTGATAATATTTCATTATACGTCTCTTTCTTGGGCTGTCCAAAAGATGCTTTCTCACAGTACCTGGAAACTAGGAGAGTCTGGATGGGAGAAATAGGCTTCATCTTAACTCAGGAAGACTCAATGGCTTTGGTTTTTAGGGTCCCCTGGATATAGAGAGTTTCCATAATTAAATCTGCATGTACTCCCTCAATTTTCACTGAAACACAATTTTGGGGTCCTCCCTGTATCTTATGGTTTCTAGCAAATCTAGCAGGGTGGGGCATACTCTAGGTCTTCTCTGTAGAACAGTGTTCTTTTATGGGATCTAGGTTTTTTGGTATCTTGTTGCTGTGTCTGCTCTATAGAACAGCTGTGCCCTGAAGCTCCAGGTATCCTGATTGTATTGATCCTTTGGAAGGCCTAAAAATTTGGTTCTGCCATTAGGACATAAGACAAGGATGTTAATAGACTCTAGCAGGGGGATCTTTGCATTGGCTGATGGAAGAGACATGGGAGGGGCATATAAATTTGCATAATTAACAAGCAAATATATAAAAAATGAGCCCCAGTGACTTGATTTTATTATCAGACTAAGATTAAAACCTATTTCCCCCCATAACCTAGGTAGAAATTGTGTCATTCATTAGCATAGTATTTGACAATATTTAACCCCATGCTGATGGATGGTTCAGGTAGATCTTAACTAAGAGCAGAGAGTCCCTGGAGCAAAGTACAGATCTAGGGTTAAATCTTTCCTTCATTGACACCAACTGGACCTAACCCCAGAGGAAGGAGAAGAACCATTGCAATACAATGCCCCTTATTTCCAGTCCCCCAAAGTTGGTGTACAATTGATATTATTTCTGACTCTTTTTTCAGTTTTGGAAAACTTGTAATTTTAGAAGTTTAGGGATAAAGATTTAAGGCACCCACTGCATCCCTAAAACCTCTCAAACTTTTCCTAGCTTGGGTTCATTTTCCATTCTGAGAGGGTGGGAGGGAGATTATTGAGCAAGGTGGCTACCATAAGGCTTTGCAAAAGCTTATGAATCATATAGTCCCTTAAAACTCTTCTAAGCCCTGAGAAGCACAGAAAACAAATATTTAAAAAATTCACCTTAGCTGGGTCAGTGATGTCACAATATCATTAGCCCTACCCCTTGGAGCTTCTCCCAGATCACAAATGATTTTTATGTATCATAAAATATATACTGTATAATACAGCAACTGCTTAGGGTTTGGATCTATTGTTCGAATGTTCAACACCAGAAGAACAGGTAGAATTCTTTGAATAATCTCATCACATAAATTCTGTGTTTACTGAGCAGAAAGACTATCTTCACCTGGTCGGGCAAATTAATCTCCTACAAATTGTCACATTCCTATATATGCATGAGACAAGAGACTGGCATAGGCTAACTAACCTGTTACATACAGAACATCGCAAGCACCTGTCTTAGTTATGTTGGACAAAGTGGCCAGTGCCTGGACAGAGGAATAAATGGGTAGTAATATGACATCAGACATGTCACTATTTTAAAAACATGAGGGAATCCATCTGTGACTGATCTCAAAATTCTGCAGCAAAATAATTACAAAGATTTATTTCATTATGAAATATCTGAGCCAGAATTAATTAAAATTGATTAAACAAAGAGAACTCTCTAATGCGAGGATGTCTGCATGCCACACTCAGCAATTGTTTTCTGAATGGTCCCTATCAATAAGCAATTATCATTTTCTGCAACTCCTGTATTTCATTTCTCTCTGACTCCACAATTTAGTTTCTCTCTCCCCTCCAAATCACATAGTCATGGCCCAGGATTGTATTCTAGGGATTTGATGAGATGGAGTGTATTCCATAATGTTTATGCAGTAATAACTGTATTAGCTGTATATGATGATAGAAGACTCTGATTTTGATGTAATAGAAAGGTAATGTTTCCAGGGCTATTCTGAATCAAATAAGGGATCCTAATTCTAAGCAGATGGAAGATGTTTTGGTAAGGGATGCGTTCATATGAAAAAAATCAAATATGAAAAAACAAATCAGCTTATCATCCATCCATCCCAGCCCGAGCAGTGCTTCCCCAAATGCTGCAATCACTGAAAACCTTGCCAATCTTATCCACAATCAGTTGGTTCATCTGAAGTCACCAGAATTTGCACAGAGGATCACCGTAATTATTTGTATGTTCATGGCAACTCTATAGGTGGCTAGGGGTGTGCATGCACATAGCAACCGAAAATTCTGCAGAGTCTGAAAGACTAGAAATCCGGAGCTAAGGAAATAGACCCGTTTTAATGAATCCTATACTTGTGAAGAGTCAGTTCTACGGTCAGCTCTTCTTGATCCTTCTAGCCACCATGTGATGAAAGAAAAAGACTTCAGGACCTCGGGAACCTGATATTTCGAGGATAAACCGCGGGAGGAGGAACCAAGAGGGTACCCTCCAAATAAAGGGCTGGGGGAGGGTCGTTATCACACCACAACAGCTAAGCTACAAAGAGCGGCACTTGGAGGCATCTCCCTCAGCGGTTCAGCACCCTGGCCAGCGACAATTCCCGGGCCGCCTTGAAAGGGTCCAGCTAGAAGGCGCCCAAAGCCCTCGCCCCGTCGCTCAGCCTGCCTAACCTGCCCACTGAACGGGGCGCGTCGCTCGCTCGCTCGCTGCTCTCCGCACCTTTCCGGATAAGCTCCTCGCTCTCGGGTTCGAAGCCTGCGCGATGACAGCGCCGCCACAAGCCGGAGACGGTGGAGTTGAAGCGGCGGCCGCACTGCGATTCCAGGGCAGCCGCAGCAACCGGGAGCCGAGCCGACGGCGGAGTCTGGCCGGCCACCAGGGCCCGAGGCGGTCGGGCGCGGAGTGGAAGATGAGGGCTGGGCGCTGACATCGAACCCGGCGGGTCGTTGCTATTGGCGTTGCGCTTGTGGCCGAAACCCCGGCAGCGCTCCCGGTGTCGCCGGGCGTCGGTCTCATACCAGGAGTCGGTGCCGATGGCCACGGTCAGCAGGGCCAGGGCGGCGGCGGCCAGCAGCAGCCCCGAGCAGCTCAACGCCTGAGCCGCGGCCGCCATCTTCCCCGCGCCGCCGCGGCCGCCGCCGCCGCCGCCGAGTCGCACCGCCCGCCACTGCTGCTCCCCCTGCAGCCCGGCCGGGGGGCCACAGCGCCAGTCAGCCACGGGACCCGTTCCTCCCCACCCACCCCTGCAGGCTCTCGTGGCTTCTTTATTCCCCCGGCTTAAATTATGGGACCGGGTGGGATGGGACGGGACCAGCGCCAGGCTTCTTTTGCGCAAGACAGGGACGGGCTGGAGGGAGAGGAGGAGAAATCTCCCCACCCTCGCCTTCCCTCCCACCCCAAAAAAGTAGATTTCGGATCCAGGCTATTTCAACCCTAGGTGCGAGTTTCTGCTTAATAAATCTCCGAGTGGCCTTTATTCTATGTTTGAAATGTTTATTTACATATATGATCACTGACAGGATTCAATCCTAGGCGCATATTGCCCCAATCGAAATGGTGTAGGGGTGTGTGTGTGTGTGTGTGTGTGTGTGCCCCAGTGGTGTGAGTGTGACACACCGTCGTCGGAATTGCTACAAGCTACTGACTTTGACCCCTGAATATCAGTACCACAGACTTCTAGGATGTTTTGAAAGGGAAAATATTCTGAAAGGGACTTTTAAAAAATGGCTTCTTTCTCTTCATCTCACTATACTGTATGCAAAGAACACCAAGGCCAGCTTCGGACAGCTTTGCCCTTCAGCTTGTTTGATACCATCTTCTTGGTGTCCCATGTGCTGGGTTCTGTCTTCCCATATAAGATCCCGTCCGATGGCTAACAAAAAAAAAAAAAAAAACCCAACCCAAAATAATCCACCCTCCTCCCTTTACATGTATTTTTCTTGAGGAGGGCCCTTGAGGAGGAAAGCAGAAAAGCTGTCCTTCAGAGCAATTAGGGAGTTGCAATAGGGGAGGTGGGAAGAAAGCAGATGTTTTTATCAATAGGAACTGCACTCAAGTCCAGTGGAAATGGTTGAAGGGACATATTGCATCAATTCCTGGATTCCTCAGTTGGGTCTGTCCTTGCTGCTCCATCAACAGCTCTTCTGCCTGGGTCACTGAAGATTTTGGAGCACTGTGGGTGGTTGGGGGGAAGAGGCTAGATTTTCCATCTTGGAGTCCATATCTAATTGCTTCTACCAATTGTTTTGCTTTAGAGACTTGAAGAAGAGGTGGAGTGGATGGAGTATAACTCTGAAAAGCTCCTCCACTCTCCTTCTTGGATTGAGCAAACCCACAGAAGCAGCAACGCTGAACCTCAAAATACCACCAGAAGTGTTATAAGTAATAGGAAGAGGACACTGTTACAACATTGCCCCATCTGTGTTAAAGCAAATGGATCGTCACATGGACCGAAGGCTGGAAATTGGGAATACTTAAAATTATCAGGGCTTTCTGATTTGGTTAATGCAGGGATCTGCCACCTTCAGCCTTTGAACTGCACGTTACCTCAGACTCTCCTGCTGTCTTGTGCTTAAAATTGAGCTGCAGCTTTGAGTTTTGGAAATGTGCCAAAAATGCTGCTAAACAGGTGCTTTCAACAGTCAAAATAATTCGGCTGCTGCTTTTAATGGCAGCAGGATTACAGCACTCTGCTCCTGATTGCTGGGGGGAGGGACTAGGGAATGAAAGTGTCATTGCTTCCTTTTTCCGCTCAGGGAAAAGGCCTCAAAATGGAGCAAGAAATCGGTGATTTTTAGCCACTGGAAAAGATGCTCTCCAAAGCAGGAAAAAGACTATGTGTGAGAAAAAGAAAAGTATCTCTCATGTGTGTATGCGTTTGTCCATATGTGCACATATGCAGACGAAACCCCCAAGATCTAGGTACCTGGAGCATCCTTGCAAATGATTGACCATTTTGGTTATTCCACTCAGGAGTAGGAGGGAGAGGAGGAAGGAGATATTATAAGGGATTATGAAATTATACATGGCATGGCAAAAAGGTACTGTACACAGAAAGGGGTTTCTCCCTCCCTCTTAATATCTAGGTGATGGCACCAGTATTCTAACCAGACAAAAGTTTACTATCTTGGTATCTTGCAGTGACTTTAAAAAGGGCCTTATCCTCTCTGCTTACTGCCCCATACAGTATCTTCACACTGATTCCTATCACTGATTCTGTAAGTTAGCCAGGTGTCACTGCCATTCCTTTAAATGATCAAGTTGTTTTTCTTTCTTTCCCCTTTTGTTTCCTTTGCCTCACTGGCTCAACGTCGACTCAGTCTTTCCCCCTTCCAAGGTCAGTAAAATAAGGACCTGGATTGTTGATGGGCATATGCTGACTCCGTAAACTGCTTAGAGAGGGCTGTACTGCACCATGAAGTATATAAGTCTAAGTGCTATTGCTATTGCTAAGTCAACGAAAACCAATCTAAAAGGACAATTCTTCAAAAAAGTGGATGTTTTGTCTTTTTATTTTCATGAGGAAGGAGCTTCAGGAATTGCAACTGGCCTTTTGTAGTCCTGTATTTTCACAGTGATCATTGTGGGTCTGTGGCAATTATTTCATTCAACTGCATAGACAACTTAAAAAAAAGTTAAAGACACAAGTCTAAAATATCAATAAACTCCATGTCTACTGATCTGAATTTTCCCCCAAGCCTCATACAGAAATTGGATTCTCTGTGGAAATGCATCATCTGTAACAATAATTCCTGTATAATTCTGAAAAGGGAAAAGACATCACCACCCTTGCAGCAAATAATACCAACCACTACTTTTTAGAAAGAATTCCTTTATACATTGCTCTTCATTAGCTAGCCTTATGGATTCTATTGGGTGCATTTACAATAAAAGCTTCTTGAACTGTTGTCATATAGAATAACAACATCATACAGTAACAGAAATACTTAAGAGACAGACAATGCATTTTTGAAATATTCTGAAATTCCAGAGGTTCCGCTTCATTTTTTTAAAGGATGTCCTTACAGATTTTGAATCTTCTGCATTTTCTCATAGTTAGCCCAATGTTCAATAAAAAGAGGAAGGCAATCATTGAATGAAAGAAAAAGTGTGTGTGTGTAAAACAGTACGCAAAACGCTATGTAGAGTCCATCAGAGCTCCTTGTTCTCATTGAGATGGATGGTTTATGCTGGATTCCACTGCAGTAAAACTTGTAATAGCACCAATTGTGTGAATGCCTTGTTGCCTCTCTGCAACAAAAAACTGGAGACTTTGCCAACAAATGTATCTATCAATGGTTATTAGCCATATTGGCTACATGGACTCTCTGCATTTAGAGGCTCAATGCCCAGGAATACTAGTTTCTAGAGAGCAATAAGAAGAAGGAACCTATGTTTTCAACCATCTGGTTGCCTTTAGTGAGAAGCAATATATTTAGCTAAATGGATTTGATCTTCAGTGAGCTAGAGGGCAGGAATAAAATCAATGGACGAAAATGAAGAGAAGATAGATCTGAGTTACCCCAAAGAGAAAATGTCCAAATGGTTAAAAAAAAAAGTGTCCTGGTCAGCAATAGCAGCTTTGGGAAGTGGTCAATTTATCCTTGGTGAGATGTCCATCTATCAGAGATAAGGTGGCGCATTGGTAAAATAAAGTCCTTTTTAAGGAAAAAGGGCCACACATTATACAGAGTGAATTGGGCCACGGCACACATATGATGAAAGCTAGGGAAATTGGAGATGTTTCATTTTTTTAAAAAAAAGATGTCTCTTTTTTAAGGTTTCTCAAAATAGCAGTAAAAGATGCCACCAATTTTTTGGCAAGTGTAATTGGAGAGGACTGTAGGAATGCAGGTGAGGGGACTGAACTACAGGACCTCAAATTGCCTGCTTCTTCTGAAGCAGAGCCATTTTTGTATCAGGAGAGATTTGAACTAAATTACATCCAATGAACTTTGCAATTTTGGGATTTAACCTAGCAAAACCTGCTCTTTTTATATCCTGCATGGAAGAACACATGGAAACTACATACATTTCTCTAAACTTCTAAACAAATTCACTAGATCTCTTTTAAAAAAATAAAACTAAACAATAAATAAGCGATAGTTTTTAAATGTAGAAAGATTATCTCCACTGTTTCAGCCATGTAATTTTCGTTGTTATTAATAGACCCACTTGCTTCTTTTAGAGTTAAATCCCAATAAAGTTAATCCCACTGGATAGCTTGGAATTATGTACACTATCTGACCACAGATACTATTTTGCTTCATCTCCGTTAAATCAAGAATTAAAATTAATGGATGTTGAGGGACCGCAATTCCCTACAACACCGCAACGTAACTGAGAATATTGAGAGTCTGGGGAATATCACCACTTTCTATAAAATGTTTAGCTTGTTTTGTCATTGTAGATAGTCCTTGACTTATGACAACAGCTGGGGCCAGAATTTCCATTGTTAAGTAAGTGCAGTCATCATCTAGCAAATCATCATCTGACTGGACCCAATTTTATGACCATTTTAGTTGGTCATTAAGTGAATCTCTCTTGTTAAATAAACCATGTAGCTGTTAAGCCAATCACATTGTGGCTAAGTGAATCTAGATTCCCAATCAATACTTTTTTGTCAGAAACTGGCTGGGGAAAAAAAAACCCACAACAATCACATGACCAGAGGATGCTGCAACCAATCGCCAGTGCAAACAGGTCTGCTGAGTGCCCAAATTGCAATCACGTGCAAGGGCAGAGTATAAATTACTTTTGCTCTGAGGCACTTATACCGCGAAACAAATGGTGTAAGTCAAGAACTAATCAGTTCTTACTGGAAGAGATTCCAAAATTGAGCTCAACTGAGACTCTGGCTTTTAAAATGAGAGAAATGATTTGTTGCTCAGGCAATCTTGCCTTGGCTGATCTATGAGACCACTGGCCAACATGGAGAACATACCAACTTGGATGCAGCAATAGACCTGGTCTTTGCCTGAACATTCATAGCTTCTCAGGACAAAATAAAGCCATTAGAGCAGGCGTCCCCAACCACCAGTCCGTGGACCAGTACCGGTCCGTGGATCATTTGGGACCGGTCCGCCTACTTTGCTTTGGTGCCATCTTGTTCTG